GTGAAAGAGCGTTGGGTTTGGTGGGCCCTGACCAGCATCTCTCCACTATCAGTTATGGGGAAGGAGGGCTAACTGTTTGAGCCTGGTTGGAGTGCAGCATGCAAGGCAAGTATGCCTTTGAGTTGTAAGTATGAAAATACTGGCACCCTGTCTCTAGTGTAAGGAAGGGTTTTACCGTTTGGTTCTCCCAAAGTTGGGCTATTTGGGCAATGTGTTAACGATATGTCTGTTGAGACTACTTTAACCACTGATAAAGGAGATTTAGGATGGAGTTGTCCTTTGTAACCCATAGTTAAGAAGAGTTTGTTCCAGCATTTGAGGGTAAGTTGTGTCGTGGGGAATATGTCAGGTTTAGTGGGGTAGGAGTCCACATGTACGTCAAGAGCTCTCGATCTTGGAACTGTGCTTTTTCCTTGTCCACCCATTGTAACACACCGGGGGGGAAGGGGGAAGTGCAATAAGATTCTGGTTGACAATGCAGCTGCTTTGTGATACAGCCAAAGGTTGATCAGTCCTACATCTCCATTATGTGGAGATAGTTGTAAGATATGCAATGGTACTCTAGGTTTCCCTTTGCCCCATTCTAAGGAGCTACATATGACTTTTAGGGATTTGCAGTAAGCTTGCGAAACAGTGATAGGTAACATTCTATAGAAATGTAAAACGTGGGGTAGAATCAACATCTTATATGCGTTTACTCTCCCTATCCAGGAGATTTTAAGGGACTTACATTTGGTAAGTAGATCTTTACACAGTCTCTGTAGAGGGGTGTAATTCAGTTTTATAATACTTTTTAGGGATTGGGTTTTTTGACTCCTAGATAAGTGAGGGAGGTTGTTCTCCAGTCAAACAGCTTTTTAACAAGGTAATAAGGTGTAGAGATAGTTTAATTGGGAGGGCCTGCATTTTGTCCTGGTTCAGTCGACAGTGGGAGACATTGTCTAAGGATTTTAAAAGTGGTAGCAGGGAGGGGAGAGATGTTTCAGGGTCAGAGAGTGCAATAAAAATGTCAGCAGCAAAAAGTGTTTTCCCAGAACCGGGATACCCATGATGCTCGGTGCATATGTATTTTCCAGGCTAATGGTTACAGTGAGAGCATATAAAGGAGGGGGAACATCCCTGCCTCATCCCATTGGGGATGTGGAAGGTGTCCAATGTGAATCCACTGTTGGATACCTTGGCCGCTGTTTAGAGTATAAAGCCATGATGCTACGTATGACCTCAGGGTGGAAATTGAATCGGGCAAGGACTCAAGTCATGTAGGACCAATTGAGCCTGTCAAAGGCTTTTTCCGCATCTAGTGCAAGGAAAAGGTCTCCGACACCCCGTCTCTTCATTCTTGCCAGAATATTGAGCATCTTCCTGGTATTATAAGAGTCCTGGCATCCCTTTATGAAATCGGATTGGTCATTATGCACTAGTTTGCTCAATAGCGGTGCCAGCCAATTGCTCAGGAGTTTGGCATAGATTTTTGTGTCTCAATTCAGTAGGGATATTTTCATAATTTTTTTGCATTGGGTTTCCTGGTTTGGGCCGGGTTGAAATATGGGCTAACAGCATTTCCTCCAGCAAAGAGCCGATGGTGGTGCAGTGGTAATATAAGTTTTGTAAGTGTGAGGACAGAATGTGCGAGAATGTCTGGTAATATTTGTTGGGAAGGCCATCAGGCCCGGGGGTTGGGCGATCAGCCAAGCTGTCTTCATCACCGAAAAAGGTTGCATCAAAAGGTCTTGGTCTTCTCTAGTCAATTTGGGGAGGTTCAGATCTGCCAAAAATGTATCATCAGGGGTGGGGAGAGGTGCTTGTGGGTCATCCCTTATCTTATACAGTTTACCATAGTAGTCAGCAAACTAACTTACAATAGCCTGTGGGTACAAAAGTTTTTGGCCTGTTGATTTTTCCAGAAAGGCAATCCTGGAGGCAACAGTTTTCTGTTTTAATTGAGAGGCTAGTTTGGCTCCCGCTTTGTTACCCATAGTGAAAAAATTGTGTTTGGACTTTCTAAGTAGGAATGTAGTTCTGGACAGCTCCATGTCTCTAAGTTGTGCCTGTAAATTGAGATGTTTTATGTGGGTGGCTGAAGAGAGGTTGTGTTTGTTAGTGTGTGCGGAGTCTGTGATTTCTGTGATTAGGAATGTGTCAGATTGGGGGGGACCGCCTGTCTGTGGAGGCCTGTAAGGGCCTCGAGTTGCTCAACCAGTCCTTGTTAAGCCTCTTAGGTGATATTTTCAGCAGTGGTGTTCTCGAGGCAGCCGCTTTCTGTCCTCCAGTGAGAAAATGGGTTTGTCAACTCTATTACATTTCACTAGCAGTTTCGCAGGGAACGCCCACTTGTTTGGGATGGTGGCCGCTCGTAAAGCTGCTGTGATGAGTGCAAATGTACGCCTTTTAAAAAGGGAGGAAAGGTCTGTAAAGATGTTTATCTTGCCAAATTAGTAGTAGTGGTGAATTAGCTCTGGAAGCTTGCATAATATGATCCTTTACTGTGAAATAATGTACTTTTTGGATCACGTTCCTAGGTGCCGTGGGCGGCAAATGCTTTTGCTTAGGCAACCTGTAAGTACAGTCCAGGTGTGTCAGGGATCTTACCTGATGTGGAGCCCGATATGCAGAGATATACGCTTCCCCTTGCAAATAAACACAGACCAAGATGACCAGGTAAGAATCCACCAGGCCTGTGAGTCTGTGCACGGGGGCTGTGTAGCTCCAAGTCGCAGTACAGTCAAGGACAAGCAGAAGAGTAGTTGTGCAAAGCCAAAATCAGGGGAAGCCAGAGAGGTCACGATGAGAAGAGCCGGGAACAAACTAGAGAACACACGATCTGGATATGCAGAAACAGGAACCAAAAACGTGAACCAGAGTCAATGAACTGACAAAGTTCCCAGGGCAAGGCAGTGCTTATATACCCAGTTTATTAATGATCTGCTTCAGGTGGGCTATATGGACAGGAGAAGCCATGGGTAAAGTCCAGCTCCCAGTGCTCCCAGTGCTGGAGACAAGGCAAGGATAAACATTAAGCAGAAATAAGAAATGAAGTGTGGCCCAGAGGCAAGATAGCCAGACTAAGACACAGATGGACCACAGTTAAAAATCCCCGTTGGGCACGTCTGGATGTCACGGTGTGAACAGTGACAAGGTGTAGTTCAGGTTCATCCAGTGTCGGAATAAGTACCTTAAACAGCTCTTGCACAAATTTTGTTAGGTCTTGCGGTTTGATAGCTTCCGGGACCCTGCAGATCCGAACATTGTTTGGCCTGTTGTGGTCTTCATGGTCTGGAACTTTTTCTTCCAAGAATTGCAGTTTTTTTCTGTAATGAGGAGAAGGCAGCAGCCAGGGAGTTATGTGCATCAATGATTTCCGAAAATAGAGAGAGTAATCTGTCCCAATACTATAATAGAAGAAAAATCAATAAAATCCTTTATTAATAAAACTAAAAAACACACACACAAACTTGTTTACTTGCCACAACCGCTACTATTGTGGTATCATTATGGCAGTACGCAAGTCAAACTCTAATAATGCTATGTCCATATGCCAGGCAGATGTATATTGTCTATTGGCAAAGTGCCAGAAGGGTAGAGGCTGATCCAAGCCTTAATGGGCACCTGTCGGGTCTGCGAACTCACTATCTGGTATACTAGATGATTAGTTGGAGTAACGGATAATCACACTGTGTGGTCTAAAATCCCTAGTCTGTGCCTTCAAGGGCACCTGTCTCTGGCTGATTTTTGAAGCTAACTAAGTAGCTAATCTATGGTATTGCTCAGTAGAAGGTCAGAGTTAAAATATACGCGCAGTAATTTTTGTCACAACTGCACTAATCTGCGCCTTCATGTGCATCTTACTCTGACTGAAAAATAGAGCTAAGCTGGCTGACTAATCAAGTAAGATTAATCTAATAGAACAGTCCGTAAAGAGGTCCTGTGGTGTCGCTATTCAATCAAGCATATCAGTGCAAGGTAGCAAGAAATATTATTATTATTATTATTATTATTTTATTATTTATATAGCGCCAACAAATTCCGTAGCGCTGTACAATGGGTGGACTAACAGACACATAATTGAGATCAGACCACTGACGTACAGGAACAGAGGGGGTTGAGGGCCCTGCTCGATGAGCTTACATGCTAGAGGGAGTGGGGTATAGTGACACAAAAGGTTAAAGTAGGGGAATTAAATAGTTTGTTACAGAAGGGTTTATTGAGTGCTTGGTAGGTCATTTTTGACAGGTGAAGGAACGGAGTCATGGGGTGGGGGATGAGAAACCTGCTGACAGTTTAATTGATACGCTTTAATGAAGAAGTGAGTTTTCAAAGATTTTTTGAAGGAATGGAGGCTGGGTGAAAGTCTGATTGAGGAGGGAAGGGAGTTCCACAGAATAGGTGCAGCCCTGGAGAAGTCTTGAAGGCGAGCATCAGAGGTGGGGATCCGGGCAGAGGATAGGAGTAGGTCTTGGGATGAGCGCAGGGGTCTCGACGGGACATACTTGTGTATGAGGGAGGATAGGTATGTTGGAGCAGCATTATGTAGGGATTTGTAAGCAAGCGCCAGAATTTTGAATTGGGCCCTATATCTAACTGGAAGCCAATGCAGGGACTGACAGAGCGTGGAGGCGTGGGAGGTGCGACCGGACAGGAAAATAAGCCTCGCAGCCGTATTCATTATAGATTGCAGCGGTGCAAGCTGGGAACATGTAAGACCGGTGAGAAGGGGATTGCAATAGTCAAGGCGAGAGAGAACAACAGCATGAACCAGTACCTTAGCCGCGTCCGGCGTTAGATATGGGCGGATGCGCGCTATGTTCTTGAGTTGGAAGCGACAGGATTTGGCTATCGATTGAACATGGGGAGTAAAAGAGAGATCAGAATCAAAAAGAACTCCTAGGCAGCGAGCCTGGGAGGTAGAGGTGATAGTAGCGCCGTTGACTTGGATGGCGACAGACACAGGAGTAGCAGCACTTGAGGGAGGAAAAACTAGAAGTTCTGTTTTGGACAGGTTGAGTTTAAGGAAGTGAGCAGCCATCCAGCTGGAAATAGCAGAGAGGCAGTCAGAAACACGAGTCAAGGTGGGCGGAGAGAGATCAGGGGAGGACAGGTAGATTTGCGTGTCATCTGCATATAAATGGTATTGGACGCCAAAAGAGCTGATGAGTTTACCAAGGGAGGCAGTATAGATAGAGAACAGTAGGGGGGCGAGGACAGAACCTTGGGGACGCCGACAGGGAGGGGTTGGGGAGAAGAGGCAGAGCCAGAGAAAGAAACACTGAAGGAGCGCTGGGAGAGGTAGGAGGAGCACCAGGAGAGAGCAGAATCCCGTAGACCAAAGTTACGGAGAATGTGAAGAAGCTGTTGATGATCAACAGTGTCAAAGGCGGCAGAAAGATCAAGGAGGATTAGGATAGAGTATTGGCCGCGAGATTTAGCAGCAATTAAATCGTTGGATACTTTGGTCACAGCAGTTTCGACAGAGTGACCAGCGCGGAATCCAGACTGAAGGGGGTCAAGCAGAGAGTTGGATTTAAGAAAGTCTGTCAATCTGGCGTAGACAACTCTCTCGAGGATCTTGGAGGCAAATGGCAGTAGCGAGATAGGGCGGTAGTTGGATGGGGAGTTGGGATCAAGGTTGGGCTTTTTCAGAATTGGGGTTACGGTTGCATGTTTGAAGGCAGAGGGAAATGTGCCAGAGGAAAGGGAGAGATTGAAAATGTAAGCGAGAGGAAGAGCAAGAGAGGGAGACAAAGTGCGGATGAGATGCGAGGGAATAGGATCGAGGGAGCAGGTGGTGGGGCGGGAGCACAGGAGCAGAGCAGAAACCTCTTGTGCTGTAGCAGGTGCAAATGAGCTTAGGATGGCAGGGGGAGTGGGGTTGGGTGTTGTATTGATACTGGTTGGAGAAAGATTAGAGATCTCTTTCCTGATTGTAGAGATCTTCTCAGTGAAATGAGATGCAAAGTTTGTGGCGGACAAGGTGGTGGAAGGAGGGGGAGTCACAGGGCGAAGAAGTGCATCAAAAGTGTGAAACAGGTGTTTGGGTTGGTGGGACAGTGTGCTTATCAGGGTGTTGAAGTAGCTTACATTTGCAGAGGAAAGAGCCATGCTATAGGAGCGCAGCATAAATTTATAGTGGACAAAGTCAGATGCAAAGTGAGACTTTCTCCAGCAGCGTTCAGCAGTTCTGGGACATTTTTGGAGGTAACGGGTCAGCTTGGTGTGCCAGGGTTGTAGTTGGGGGCGCTTGCTGCGTTTAACTGTAGGAGGTGCCATGATGTCAAGTTGAGAGGAGAGAGTGGAGTTGTAGAGTGAGGTTGCAGAGTTAGGGCAGTTGTGATTTGAGATGGGTAAAAGGAGTGTTTGGAGTTTAGTGGAGAAGTGCTGGAGATCGAGAGAGTTGAGGTTTCTGCGAGGTTGGAGAGTGGATGGTGGTGAGATTTTGATATGGGGTATGCAGATGTTAAATGTTAGCAGATGGTGGTCAGACAAAGGAAATGGAGCAGTGGCGAGATCAGAGGTGGTACAGAGATTTGTGAAGATGAGGTCAAGAGTGTTTCCTGCAGTGTGAGTTGCTGAGGAAGAAAAAAACCTATAAATGGTTTAATAATATGAATGGCTGTCAGTGTACCCTATACATGGTTTAATAATATGAATGGCTGTCAGTGTACCCTATACATGGTTTAATAATGTGAGTGGCTGTCAGTGTACCCTATACATGGTTTAATAATGTGAGTGGCTGTCAGTGTACCCTATACATGGTTTAATATTGTGAGTGGCTGTCAGTGTACCCTATACATGGTTTAATAATGTGAGTGGCTGTCAGTGTACCCTATAAATGGTTTAATAATGTAAATGGCTGTCAGTGTACCCTATACATGGTTTAATAATGTGAGTGGCTGTCAGTGTACCCTATACATGGTTTAATAATGTGAGTGGCTGTCAGTGTACCCTATACATGGTTTAATAATGTGAGTGGCTGTCAGTGTACCCTATACATGGTTTAATAATGTGAGTTGCTGTCAGTGTACCCTATACATGGTTTAATAATGTGAGTCGCTGTCAGTGTACCCTATACATGGTTTAATAATGTGAGTGGCTGTCAGTGTACCCTATACATGGTTTAATAATGTGAGTTGCTGTCAGTGTACCCTATAAATGGCTGTCAGTGTACCCTATACATGGTTTAATAATGTGAATGGCTGTCAGTGTACCCTATAAATGGTTTAATAATGTGAGTTGCTGTCAGTGTACCCTATACATGGTTTAATAATGTGAGTGACTGTCAATGTACCCTATAAATGGTTTAATAATATGAGTGGCTGTCAGTGTACCCTATACATGGTTTAATAATGTGAATGGCTGTCAGTGTACCCTATACATGGTTTAATAATGTGAATGGCTGTCAGTGTACCCTATACATGGTTTAATAATGTGAGTAGCTGTCAGTGTACCCTATAAATGGTTTAATAATGTGAGTGGCTGTCAGTGTACTCTATAAATGGTTTAAGAATGTGAATTGCTGTCAGTGTACCCTATAAATGGTTTAATAATGTGAGTGGCTGTCAGTGTACCCTATACCTATAAATGGTTTAATAATGTGAGTGGCTGTCAGTGTACTCTATAAATGGTTTAAGAATGTGAATTGCTGTCAGTGTACCCTATAAATGGTTTAATAATGTGAGTGGCTGTCAGTGTACCCTATACATGGTTTAATAATGTGAGCACATGGTTTAATAATGCGAATGGCCGTCAGTGTACCATATACATGGTTTAATAATGCGAATGGCCGTCAGTGTACCATATACATGGTTTAATATTGTGAGTGGCCGTCAGTGTACCATATACATGGTTTAATATTGTGAGTGGCCGTCAGTGTACCATATACATGGTTTAATATTGTGAGTGGCCGTCAGTGTACCATATACATGGTTTAATATTGTGAGTGGCCGTCAGTGTACCATATACATGGTTTAATATTGTGAGTGGCTGTCAGTGTACCATATACATGGTTTAATATTGTGAGTGGCCGTCAGTGTACCATATACATGGTTTAATATTGTGAGTGGCCGTCAGTGTACCATATACATGGTTTAATATTGTGAGTGGCCGTCAGTGTACCATATACATGGTTTAATATTGTGAGTGGCTGTCAGTGTACCCTATAAATGGTTTAATAATGTAAATGGCTGTCAGTGATCGCTATAAATGCTGTCAGTGTACCCAATGATACAGTGAGTTGAATGATGTAAGTAGGGCAGATCCCTATTTACACCCTGCACCCCCACTTCCCCCCTTACCTGCCACAGAGTGTTACAATGACAGGAAGGCCGCCTGTAATCCAGGAAATGACTGCTTGCAGCAGGTGGCAGTAGAGGGCTGGAATGTAGCATACAAGGACTGGGGACAGGTTTAATAAAGCAAGGGGTATCTTATTACTAAGAGCCACACCTGCGTTTACGACGTCTAGTATAAAGATTAACTGGATGAACTTTAAGGTGCAATGCTAATTTATCATGGGGGGGACAGCGAAGGGCTAAATTATCACAGAGTGGGGACAGCGCAAGGCTAATTTATCACAGGGGGCAACAGCACAAGGCTAATTTATCACAGGGGGCAACAGCGCAAGTCTAATTTATCACAGGGGGCAACAGCGCAGGTCTAATTTATCACAGACGGGGAACAGCGCAGGTCTAATTTATCACAGACGGGGAACAGCGCAGGTCTAATTTATCACAGACGGGGAACAGCGCAGGTCTAATTTATCACAGACGGGGAACAGCGCAGGTCTAATTTATCACAGACGGGGAACAGCGCAGGTCTAATTTATCACAGACGGGGAACAGCGCAGGTCTAATTTATCACAGACGGGGAACAGCGCAGGTCTAATTTATCACAGACGGGGAACAGCGCAGGCTCCACTCTATCGCATGTGACGGGAAACAAATGTAGGTCTAATTTTATCATGACGGAACAGCGCGAGGTCTAATTTATCATGGTGACGGGAACAGCTTAGGTCTAATTTATCACAGACGGAACAGCAAGAGGTCTAATTCTATCACAGACGGAACAGCTGCGAGGTCTAATTTATCACAGACGGAACAGCTTATACCCACTTATCACAGACGGGAACAGCTAAAGAGGTTCACTTATCACAGACGGAAACAGCGAGGTCTAATTTATCACAGACGGGAAATGTTTTTAGGTCTAATTTATCACAGACGGGAACAAGCAAGAGGCTCCACTTATCACAGACGGGGAACAGCGCAGGTCTAATTTATCACAGACGGGGAACAGCGCAGGTCTAATTTATCACAGACGGGGAACAGCGCAGGTCTAATTTAACTCGGGGGGGTGGGGGACGGATGGCTAATTTATCACAGAGGGAGACAGTGGAGGAGGAATTTAACACAGAGGGGAACATCGTTCTCAAAACCAATACTAACATGGCAAAAAATAATAAAATTATTGCCCTACAACTTACCTCGCTCACCCCAAAGACAGCGGTAATAATCCCACCCTTAATAAAAAAGTTTCTACTCAGCGCAGAGCAGGATAAACAGTGAGTTAATCAGGACACGGCTAAACACACTCTGTGAACCCAGTAAGAGGCTTATCCAGAGCTAATAGCTAGTAACGTACACAGCTTGGAAACAGAACGCACAGCGCCGCTATACAGCTGCATCACCTGCACACACAGCGCCGCTATACAGCTACATATCACGGGCTCACACTCTGG